TAATTTTATTCAGTTCTATTGAATTTAATTCTGTAACTGGAAGCCATTTTTAAATTTTCATTCCTCCAAATACCAGTGGCCAAATTAGACAAGTGAAATTCAAAAATTACAAACACCTACACTCGGGTACTTTTTCCAATCCCACATTCCAAATATCTTCTTCAAATTTTGAATTGCGCTTTAAACATTGTACACGTACTGTACACATTGGCTTTACTGTACAAACATGTACTTTACCAAGCATGTACTTGTACAGAACCAGCAGCATAAAGAATGTACCGATGCAGTACTTGCAACTCAAACCTTACAATTCCTTTAAAAAAGTCGACAGTACCGTGTAACTTTTAGATGTGGTCAATGACTATCAACAAACACAGACCTGATAAAAATTTTTTTATTATACGTATACATGTAGTTCTCTGCATGTTCATGGTACAAAAACCATGGTTCAGAAGGTTATGCTTACAACACATGTATTGAAGTGAACACTGAATGTAATGTTCTTCAAACATGTCTAAAAAAGTCTTCTTGAAAACAGTAAATCCTGAATTCAAATGTTAGTCCTTCACATCTTCATGTACATGTACATTCTTGTTTTGTCCTTTCAAAAGTGTTCAGTGCACCCTCTCAATGTACATGTACGTATTGGTACGCACATACAAGCACAGGTATACCATACATACATGTACATGTACAGTACATACATGTACATGTACATATACAGTACATGGCATTGGAAACGTGAGGCTAGGCCTCCTACCATGCCTACACATTCAGAGGACCATTTCTTTGTTAGAAAAGTCAGAACTGAAATGGGGAACAAATCGTTATTGGTCTCAATAATGTCTGAATTTCAACACATTTGTACAGGAGTTCCCATACAACCTGTTAACAAGTACATGTACATACATGTACATGTACATTGTATACCTACATGTACATGCACGCATACATGCACATACACTGTACATGTACCGGTACATGTACATGTGCCGTACTTACATGTATGTACATGTAAGTGTGTAAATCAATAAATTGTCTATTTCAAAAGCTACAGAAATATATTATGTGCATGTATTTTTAAAGATGTTGAAACTTCAAACTGTGCCAATGAAACTCCAAATGAATTATTTCGATTTATCTGAGAAGGTTACACAGTTTTGGGTTGTGCTTTTCTGATTGATAATTTTTTTTTTGGTACAAAATATAAACATGTATTACGTAAAGTTTGTTAGAAGTGAAAGGTGATTGTCTCATCAGTTCAAGTTCTCAAGGTAAGACCATAACCTGTGGACTTCCTGTCTACCGGTTTGCAAGTGCATGTACCGGTACGTACAAACTTGTAAAAGTACATGTACCAATACATTTGCACTTCCTGACATAATGGCTGATGGAGGATGCATAAACCTTTGTTCATGTACAGTACACTGCAACTGAGTTAACACTGTGAATGGGCAATTGGTGAAAACAATTTGCATTCATATTCCCATTTCATATAATGCCATCAAATATTTTCCCACTCGTGAGAAAGGTGTGCAAATATTTTCCTACTTGTGAGAAAGACATGTATTTGTACATGTACATGTACAGTGTGTAAGAGTGTTTTTCCAGTGTGAAAAGCCATAAAATATGTTAATTTACTTGAACACATACATGTATGTACATGTGCGGATGTATCCCAGTATGCAACAGTAAGAAAAGATTAGTATACAGTTCACAAACTTGTACTCAAAGGAATTTATATTTATTTTAATGCCATTTCAAGAATGCACAATCTACTGCCGAGTCATTTACCTATGGACACTTATAGTTATACATGCAAATTATTGCTGGTACTCTAGCCATGGCATTAACGCTGCCCCTATCGTAGGCGCAGTGACCTTCAATGACTATGCTAATCAACGCAACAATGGCAAAGTTTCTGATGATGGCAATCCAGTGTATTTACGGCCAAATTATTAGTGCATGTACATGTACATTGTACCATGTGTACATGTGCATGCACGTGATACGAATCACTGATTTGTTACCATTACTCATATAAATAGAATAATCAGGTATCGTACCAGTACATGTACAGCTGAAAAATTGAAAAACAAATCAGATGTAACATGTTATGCGTAGTTGAGACCCAGTGTACTGTACATGTACATTGTACATGACAAGTGAATGAAAGGCAGCTGCTATACAATGAACAAATGCAGCAATATGATAATGTAAATGGGTCTCTACATGTACCGGTACGAACACAGGTAGACGTACATGTACATATAAAAAACCTGCAATGTGTACATTTATAGTCATTATAGGCACCATCAAAAAAGTCCGCTTTTACAACAACAAAAAAAGAATTACCGGTACATACTGTACATGTACAAATCTGATCGACTCTCTGTCATTATCTACATGGCATGTTCTTCATAAATGGACCAAAATGGAACTCCGGATGTCATTTTTCAAAATTTCTAAAAGAGTGACTTTGATCATATAACTCCAGATTTATAAAAATGTTTATTTGGGAATAATTTGGCATAATATGGACATTTGGTGGACATTCAGTTGGCCACCAGTGCATGACAATCAATGGAGTTGAATTCATTTAAAGTTTTAGTTCAAAGTGTTTGCACAAGAGGACTTCATTTCAAAACTTCTCTCAACAAGGAGAATTCAGTATATTTTTCAACTGATGTGTGTAACAGCTGGGGTAAACAAATTGGCGTTTCATGTGCCCAAACATGTATCAGTACATGCGGATTGCACTGTGGTCCAGTAATTATCACTCAGCACCTTCATTTCTTCCGACAGCTGTACAGTGTATATGTACAATTTTGCACTTTAATACTAGGGCTAATTTATTTTCCCTTTTTATTTTCAATGTAATTTCACTGTCCAATAGTAATTGCTTGGGAATGTTTGAACATGTTCTTTCAGGGATGGCAGTCAGAGAATCATACTGTAGATCTCCAGGGTACCTACATGTACATGTAAAGACAGACTGGGTACACTGTACACATGGGTATCGTACATGTGGCCATCACTGCATTTCCTGTTATAAAGTCAAAACTGAGTTGCAGGGTCCAAAAAATATTCTTAGTGGCTCACAAGTGATGATTAAAATAAGGATAGCAGAGGTTTTGATTAACAAAATAATTAATGTAGCCGTATTGTTTCTTCTCTTTGACTCATTTTTCTGGCCTTCCTTCAAAGAGATGGAAAGCAGGGAACTTTTGAAGAACCGAAAAGCCAGATTTCATGTTTTTTTCTGAAAAAAAAATCAATGGCATTCTTTTTCTTTTTCTAAATGAAGTGTTTTTCCCAAACTAAAGATAGGCATGTCCAACTTTGTTGACACAGAGCAGGTAAGCCCCAACATTTGGTGCAGTGGATAATGTTGGGACACATGTGTGTTATCACATGAAGAGGTTGTACGCATTCAGTCAAAATATTGGCCTGCATTTTCACATGCCCACACTCAGTCATGTCAGTACACACACACTACACGTACTATACATGTACATACCAGTACAACTGATACACATGTATGTCCTTCATGTATTGTATGTTTTTGTATGAAGGAACTTGTCCTAATATCACACTCAGATACATGTATGCAACAAAGCATGTACATGACAAAACATAGCAAACAGAGCGAAAAATGACCTGGTTTCAACTTCTACATGTACGGTATATGTGCACTGTAGCTCCTGGATTTCTGAGCATAAAAATGAACATACAGTACACAGCTCTACTTATCCCCCTATTTACTTGAAAACAAATGTACAGGTAAAAAAAGCCTACACACAAGCAGTAACAAATGTATTTCAAATTTCCAACTTGCAAAACTGTAGATTAATTAACTAAGCCCTAAGGCATGACCGCTACCGGTACATGTACATTGTACATGTACGGTAATTACTACACCTCAGCGTCAATCTTCACCTTGCCTGGTCAAACTGCAATAAGGTACATGTACATGTACATGTATAGCACAAAACACATCTTTTGTTGAAAGAACTAAAAAATGCACATGTACACTGTACATGTACATGTATGTGCCATATCTGTAAACTGTTAAAAGTTCTCATATCGTACATTACCAGCTGCAAAGAACTGACAATGCTTGAGAATTTTTTCTGCTTCTCAATTTGCTTGTGGACCTCTTTGCATTTATTATTTGACTGCCTTCTTCACTTATGATCAGTAAGTGTACACCATGCGCAAGACAGGACTTCGCAAAAGTACAAAGCCACCCATGGAGGTAGGAAAAAATTTGACAGAACATATAGGCATAGTGTGAGAGAAAGCCACCCTTTTCATCCTTTTCCTGAAGCCATGTCCACTTCCATTTAATTTCCATCTTTGATTCCATAACCTGTAAGCAGTCAGTTCCTTCTTAAAATGTTACATGTACATTGTATATTCCCAATAATTTGACCAAATTTCTAACGTTACATCCTTGTTGAAATTTTTAATTTAAATCATACACGAGTACGGTTGTTGACAGTAAACCTTAAAATGCAATTATTATTTACAGTACCGGTAGTTCCTGGTCGGTTATGTACATTACATTTTTATCGTTCATTCTTGGTACATCTACCATAGCCTTGAATTCAGGCTTTGTGACAGACATGGGTTTTCAGACAGCTCACTGCATTTAGTGCTTGGCATGCATGTACCTGGTGTTGCTGGAGCTCTGGTCAAGTTTCAAATTATCAGTGCACGTAGAGGCCACACATGCCACATGCAAGCTTGAAATGAGCCTACATACATGTAGCCTCTGCTGTTGGGACAGCATTACAATTATGCCCTGCACTACATGCAGTCATAAATCCCTGGACAGAAATCCATGTGAAAATCAATTGTGCAAGAGCAATTTTTCTTTTCTTTTCCAACCCTTTTTAAAGCCAAAAAAGGGAATTTTTTTAATTTTTTACCGAAATTCAAGATAAAATTGGAAAAGTGACATCTCTACTCAATACATGTAAAACGCATTAACTCACCTTTTTAGATTCTTCCCTGTTAATGTTATCATCTGTCAGGTCATCATCTAATGAATCATGGCTGAACGACGAAACACTGCTAGCACTGGACAGTTTACGGATCGGCCCAGACTGCTTGATGTCTTCGATGGTAAGGCCAATCTCAGAGGATGCTGATTTGCTGGGTGTGAAGACCGACGTATCCATGGTACCATCCCACGAAATGTTACTAACTTCTTCATCGCAGTGGTCACTGACAATGACTGACGGCAGGCACTCAAAGCTTTGCATACTGGACTGCAATGTGTCTGACCGGTAACCAAAGTCACGCCGGCGCTCCTCCACAGTAAGGAAGGACCTTGAACTGTTTGGTAGCATCACTTCAGGAGAGTTTGATTCCTGGGACGACTGGTCTGCCGAACTGCCAGGGCTTCGCAGTCGGATGGTGAGCTTTGACTTTTTTACTTCTCTCACGGCTGCCTGTTCATGTGGGGAAGAGGCCACCACGGGGTCAAAACTGCCAGTCTTGTCACTGTCTTGGAAGCCTTCATCAGGAGAGAGTGGGCTCGGCTCTCTACTCCCTGACGAAGCTGAGTCCCCTTGGTCGATGCTCTCAAAGACATTGCTGGAACGAGTGAGTATCTTGGGTCTACTGTGGGGTACAGTCAGGCTGATTACTGACACCTGTGTGGCTGACGCTGCACTGACTGAAGGTGCTTGGGCTTCCAATTGTGCGCCCCCTTCCACAGAAATATTTGCAACTCCGCTATCTTGGCTTGATGTTCGTATTGACCTTCTGTCATCTACTTCTGGCAAAGCAAGGTGGTCTTGGCTCGTTTTGTCACTGCTCTGAGTCAAATCTGTGGCTAGTGAGGGAGAATTACTTCGTGGGCTCAGGCACATTGGGCTGCTAGAATAGAAACCACTTCCATATCCGCTGCTTGGGCTGTTTCCAGGGGACAGCAGATTTCGAGTAGTTGTGCTCAAAGCTTGCCCACTCTCCGAGTCTGATGAATCACTTGGAAGTAACAGTTTTGTGGGCTTTGGGCTAACAGACCGTCTCGTAAGCAACGGAGAAACAGGGGAATCTGGTTTCTCAGTAGTCAAGGATCCAGACGCAGACAGTGATCTTGGACGGGTCTTTGGCAGATTCAAGTAGGAATCTGTGGAGGTATTTACGGGGGCAAATTTGTTGCATAGACTTAGGATGCGAGGGGACACTGGTCTGACAGTCACAGGATCTGAGGAAAGACTTCTCAAAGGCTGGGAGTTTACAGGAGTCATACTGTTGTCAGTTGGTGACGTCAGATCTGCATGCATCTCTCCAGGAGACCCTTGCAAATCTGCTTTAGAATTTGTGACTTTCCTTGAGTGAGGCACTGGCATCTTGAAGCGGTCTTGGGCTCCTGAGTCAAGTTCTTCTGCACTTCTTACAATACTCATGTGAACAGCACATGGAGAAGTTGACTGCTGCCAACAGGGCATGTGATGCGACTGCGATGGAGAGTTTTCAGACATTCTAAGGACAACCCTCGATGGTGTTACACTCGGTGAACAGACTGGATAAAAAGCAGACGGACAGGAATCTGCTTGTCTAAAGCTTTCCAGGATATGACGGAAGCGCCCGCCATGACTGATGGCACCTTGTCTGCAGATATTCACAGGGGAGGATTTGCGTCTTGGGGAGCTAGACGGACAGCTTGAGGGCTGGCTTCTGCCATCGTAAATACAGTTTGAATGCGAACTCATTCCAGAGTGCAGAGCCTGACAGGAAGCATGTAGCTGATTCTTAAAGTTCACAGTTCACAGGATGCACAAGTAAGGCACGGGAATCATCAAATTCACCAAGGGTTTGGCACTCGGTCTAAAAACAAGGAAAAAAAGTACTTTCCTAGTCAAACCATTTAGTGTTTCTTGTTGAACGACAGCACAGTCCCAAGGCAGCACAAAACAGTGTCAATTGGTTTATGATCAAGGGCTAGTTAAAAAAAGCATCATTCCTGTACACAACTATCCACAACCAGGAATCAAACAGGAATTACTGGTTTCCTTCCCTGTAAGAGGTCCATTAAATACAAAGGTAGTGTTAATCCCCCTACACAAAAGTATACATAAGATGTGTCAACCTCTAACCTGCTCTCAGCTGTTGTCTGCTCTTGATAATAACAGGACAGTAAATGGATCTCTTCACAGCATGGCTTCCCACTGTTGATAATCCTGGGCTAGTGATTATAACTGTTGTATGTAACATTGGCTGGAAACCCACAACATAGCATCTTTTGGAAGAGGAAAAAGTCTCCAACTTGTTTGTCTGCAAAAAACCAAAAGAGGAAATTCTTTGAATAGTTTATATTCACAAAGAATTCAAAACAAAATTGACCAACACTATTAAAGGTGAATTCTCTTTCACAACTGAATGTCCTACAGCCAAATAATGCAATCTGTACAATTACCAGTAGCTCCCTCTTCATGCACATCATGTAAATACGTACAACTGTGCTTTAATTGTTGTACATGTAAGCTTGGTATATGAACATGTATTTCTCTCCACATTTAAAAACTATGCATGTACATGTACAATTGTACATGTGACATAAACAGAGGATCATGACAGTTACTCTGTAACAATACATGAGCTCCAACGTATTACACGGTCTTCATGCATGCAACACACACATGTGAGTACCGTGTTTTTTAAAGTTCTTACAGGTGCTGTGAAATACATGTACATGTACACATACACTGTACCAGTACCTACATGTGCAAGTGCCAGTAATTATGTAATTCTGTGCTTGGTAAACAGGATTTTTTACAATATGTTCCCTAAATGTGTTAACATGTAAGCCTTCACTGCTCTTGGTCAACAAAATGTACATGTACATGTAACATCAGTTTTACTCATGGCAGTTGTGATGGATTTTACTTGATTCAAGAAGGTTCCTTAATTAATACGGGCTGATACACTCAGAAAGAAGGGTTTGGTTTTTAAACTTCCTTCACCAATCACCTGTCAGCGAACTGACTGATAAACAACTTTCAGCCATTTTCGGTTAGAATTTGGACCTGGTAAAAGTACATGTACAATGTACTCTACATGTGTTATCCGTACATGTACATGTACGTGTACACCGCAAAAGCTAAAATGTCAACGTTGTAGGTGTGGTGTCACAGCAACGTACAGCATTACTATCAGACCTACACTATACATGTTCATGTAAGCTACATGTAAGCACAGTTGACAGATGTACATGTACAGTATGTACGTGTACAGTGTTCATGTACACACCTACTGGTACATGTACATGTACTGTCAGTAGTAGAATTTCCCCTGGCAGAGTTTGTCAGTAGAAACATGTGCTACAGGCCTCCCACCTTTAGACAAGCATTGTTATCTACTTGTGATATTCCATACATGTACAACATGTACAACATACATGTACATGTACAACACGTACGGAAAACACTGGCAGGAACCCACGTTGTATTAGTACACATTGCCGATGCAGTGGCCGGGTAGGAAGATGTGGGTGACCCCACATACATGTAAATAAAGGGAAATGACGTTACCCATTATGCACGCTACAAGAATGTGTGTCGGAAATGAAAACCTTGGTAACAAAAGACTGACGACATGAAGGCCATGGCACACACATTTCAAATCACTTCAAAAATCCTTCTGACTGCACTTCAGTAAATTACCGACGAGGATCATTCAAGATTCCAACTGGAATTTTTCAAATAACTGCCAGAGTCTCAGTTTTTTGGAAATTTGAGCCACTTACCTTTATGAATTTTAAACTATTATTTATGGCTGAGTCAAGTTGAATAATTCACTATTCGAATATTCAACCTTCATTTCCATCGAATATCAAAATATTTGGTGGTAGTGACCAGCAAGTAATTGATGAACAGACCACACACAAATCAGTTGCAATAACACGGACAATTGTACATGTATAATCACTATAATAACTTCTCGCTTCTAGGACTACATTGTATCTCCAGCCACAATTTAGCAAGATTTAACAGACGAACAAGACTTCTTACCTTGTTGACAATTTACTCCTTTTAAAGTTTTCAACGAATAATTTATCTTTTGAATCATTGTAAGACATATTATTCTGTCGTTTTTTTTATTTTAGTCCGAATGAAACATGCCTCCAAGAGCAATTTTCTCCTTTAAACCAAAAGAAACTTCTCCCTTCCTTTTCATGAATTTTGCATTCGAATATTCAGATTTGAAAAATATTATTCAAATATTCGATAATCGATCACATACATTCGGATATTCAGCACAGCCCTGCATGTACTTTTATTGCCAATAACTCACAATTACATGAACAACCAAACTACCATGATCTGAACGCTGGAACTCCCTCAGGTGATGTACATGTACATATAAGCTCATAGCTGTAATTGTAAGTGCCTGAAATTTCACAAGTGTACAAGAAATGCTTGCAAACACCTTTGCTGTGTCATCAACATTTTTAAACAGCCTGCAATCAGGTTCTTGAAGGACCTACATGCACATAGTACACGCACAATGTTCACGTGCAATACAACACATAAATTTTCAGCATTGTTAGTACGCTACCGGTACATGTACAAGTACAAGTATACAAGCACAAGAACATGTGCTAGTGTAGGCACATGTACATTTTACATTAAATTTACTGTGAAACGTGTACGCGTATGTATACAGTAAAATGGCATACACTGTACATGTACATTTACACAAGTAAAGTACGTGGCAAGGTTGATGATGCACCGCGTACATGTACATGTATATGTATGTACATGTATCAGCTTGGGAAACAAAGTAAAAGAAATTAAGGATAATTCATACGAAGTACTTGTACATGTTTGTGTATGGCATGTATGGGGTAAGTAGGCTTTCCCTACGTTGAGAACATGTGCCGGTAATTGTACATGTACATGTAGTGGTACATGTACATGTACATGTTTCGACATGTATGGGAAAAACAAGCATTTGGGGACCAACATCTGGACTATTGCTGTAGAGCTGCTATCTTTCAAAATGGAAACATACCACCACATCAGTGTGTTTTGTCTCACGACTTATCACAAAACGTCTGTCATAGGGCTGGAGTCACATACAGTGCACAAGTTACACGTGTACATGTACATACATGTAAGCAACCAATCAATTCACTATACATTATTCGCTAACTCAATTAAAAAATGACACCAGAGTTACTCAAGTTACAATGTACATGCACACATACACATGGAGAAATCTACTCTACGCTCATGTGCAAAATGAGAATTCCATACACTGGTTTGACTAATATTTCCTTGCAATGATATCAGCCATAATCCAAAGTGATCACACAGCCTAAACAGTCAAATTAAGCGGGGGAAAATAATCTTAAACCGAAAAAATTCCATACAGAGGCCACTTGGCGCCCTGTGCACCTACATGTACATGTATAAGACTGGTCTGAAAAAATCTAAATGGAAAAGAGGATGCAGGCATTTTCACTGCTCAATTGGACTTTTCAGGACATTTTATCACTTTCAGACAGCTAATACCATTCACTGCTGGGAAAAAATCAGCTCAGGAATCCTAATTCTTAACATTAATTCTTACCATTAAAACATTCACTTCATTAACTCTTACCATCAAAACATTCACTTAGAAACTCTTTTTCCAATCAGTCTCATAAGGATTGTGAACAGGGTATCAAGTGCTATCAAGTACAGGCACATGTACAATGTATGAAACTCTTGACTTCATATTGTACACTGAAAGAATTCGGATATCATTTAGCACCCCCCCCACACATACATGTACACCTTCAACCTGGATTTTTGATGATTTCTCGGACTCTTCCTCTTCATTTTGCCACAGATAACTTTGACCCCAAAATGCCTCTAAAACTGTTTTTCAGAGAGGGGAAAACATTGTGTGGACGTGTGCAAGTCCACACAATGCCATCGCACCCTACATTATGTGGACTACTTTTGTGCAGAGGTCCACACTACCGTACCGTATGTATGCCGCGCCTGCACAATGATACCCGTCTGAGAAAGAGCTTCACATACAGAAAACACTAAATCTTTAACCCTAACAGTCCCGAATGCTACAAAGTACATGTACTACTCAGTAGTAAAATGTAGTACTCAGCCCTGTCGCTTGTAAGAGGACATGACATCATTATTCTCTGAAGCCATAAAACACAATAGAGGAGACAGTGTACCATACAATGCTGTGGCACTATGAATGCATAGTTTCATTGTTCTCTGTACGAATAACAATGGAATAAACCTAGCCAGAAATAGTAATCTGTAGCGCTAGGTCCTTCAAGCTCAGAGTGTTACTTAGTATTTTGTAGTAATGAGTACTCTGAGCCAAACAACGCCTGGTACTGTTAGGGATAATATTAGCCATCTGAAAGTGATAACATGTCCCAAAAAGTGAAATTTAGCTGAGAAAATTCTGAAGCATTTACTTAGAAAACACTTCGGCCTATTTTTTTTCAGGCAAGTCTCACACTGGTAGGTTTGTGCACTGGGGCATCAAGTGTTGTCTGTATGGTACCCTTTCCCTGTTTTCTAAGTATGTATGGTAAATGCTGCAGTATTTTACATGTACCAGCTAAGGAAAGAGTTCTATATAAATGGACGCCAGTATTTTTTTTCTTACATTGAACTATTACCCATCAGAAAGCAAAAACATGTCCAGAAAAGTTCAATTTAGCAGGGAAAATACCAAGTCGTTTACATAGAAATTACTTCCAATTTTTCAGGCCAGTCTCATAGGGTTTGTGCACAGGGTGTCAAGCAGCGTCTGTATATATGGAACACTTTCCCCAACAGAATTTGACTTACAAGCTATCACTTTCCATGTAAACCTCTCACAGGAGTACACACTTACATGTTAAATTTTACATACATAAATATGTACATTGTATACAGAATGTACTTGTAATAAATTCATGTGACATTATGTTTACGGCACAGTACCTTCACCATCACCATCAGACTCAGCTTGATAACGTCTACTTGTACATACAGGTATACTGTATGTACCTCTACTGTTAGACTCAGCAATAAGTTTGGATGTAATGCTGAGGAACTATGAAATGTAAATGTACATACCGGTACTTTTGTACAGTGTACATGTACGTGTAGGCCTACTGGCTACATGTATGCATGAATGCATAAAATAAAATTTACTGTCATGTTCTGAACTGTCATGTTCATGGACATGACAGATCAGTACAGCTAATCTGTGACTAGTCATGCTAGTCTGAGCATATATGTACATGTACACGTAGGTCCTAGTAACTTGGACTTTACAAACAGCTTTTTTTAACATTTCGATACAATCGGGAGATTAGTCACCCGACCATGTCGAAATCAAATTAAAAAAGGGCGATTCATTAGTAGGCCTAGGCTGGAATCCCAGTTACTCGGACAAAACCTCCATGCTGGGACTGGTGATCCATGACCATGTTACAATTCTCTTCCCAACCCAGCAATGCCACCGTATTATTACATTCAGGAGATGACACTGACAGTCAGTTTCCTCATTGCTATGAAAAACTCACCTGCAAAGCTCGAATTCAATTACTCTGGAACACGACCAACGAAATCGTACATGACGTGCCCGTAACAATAAAACTCGCCCTCACTCTGTGCATGTGGTTAAAACATGGTTAATTACTGTCGGGAAGGGGTACCATACTTACTTGCACTATGCACACAAGAAGCGTAATAATACTGTCGCAAGCGAATTCACCATGTTCACGTTCAACTTGACTTCCTCAATACAGTCGATTCCTGAGCGATAAGCCGAACAACCATCGATCACGAAAAAACTGGTCCTGCGAAATATTTCGCCTCCGTCACAATGGGTTGTGAATGATAATCGAGTGAAGCATTTGATAGAATATGCCCCGCACTTCAGAGTACATGGACGTCATGATTCATTTTTCACTTCCGGTACACGATGAACGCGCCCGGCCCCACTGCATCATGCATTGTATGCGCATACGACCACCTGTTAAGATGAGGGCGCTATAGTTTTAATAAAGAAGTTTATGTCCTCGGATGTTCACTACGAATAAATTCCCATAGAAAGCAGTGATAAATCCCCATACTTCCCAAATATTTTACAAATATTAACAACTCTCACAGGTGTTCAGGCTGCACAGAAAAATGATGTTCCACATGTTCCCTTTCATTTTCCTTTAAATTTTTGGGGAGTTGACCAATGGATTTTTGAGAAATTTTCACCAGAAGCAGACCACCCCTAAAATGAAGAAAATATCCCTGTCCAGAAATGCTGCCATTTTGAAATACCATCCCTCTGCAAAATGACTCAAATAGTGTCACTTTCGGACTCAATTGCATCCAAATTGCTCAGAATTGGAAGCCTTGAGTCCGGCCCAGAGGTTCAGTCTCACATTTATTCAATTCCCCAGTTCCGTGGAATATTTGAGTGTATAACTTGTATTAATGAGTTCGGCGGACATATTTCTGGCCTAAATACAAGGGTGCACCCTTCGAGTGCGGGTTATGACGGCTCAGTTTATGTCGACAACAGGAAGATCGATGCAGGTGAAAAAGGCAATCCTTACCTTTACGATTGTGCTACTACAAATCATTCCTGTTGCCATGTTTCAGTTGTCGGAATTGTTGGAAAATTACACATTTTCCGGCAGTATCCTCTAAAAACGATGACTAAATGTTTGATGTGCTTAGAAGGAAGACTTCCCGACGTTGTAGAGGTAAGTTTATGAACTGACGAACACAATTGAAGAAGTTGTTTTGTTGATGTTGTTGTCATCGTGGTCATCGTTATTGTTTTAATGATTGAAGCAAAAATGTCGAAGTATGAGAGTAAGAATTACCAAAATATATATAATACAAGTGTGATGATGAATGTCTGAAACTGTTTTTCCAAAACAAGTGAGTGACATTTTTGGCAAAAAACACCTAGGGGAGTTGACAACAAAACTTTGAGATTGATCCAGTAAAAGATGCCGTGGGAAATTTTGCCCTGTTTAACGATTTCGATAAAAAAAAGGTTCTGTCCCCAATAAGGAACTAATTGTAAAAATAGGTGAATGACATTTGAATAATTATTACATTAACTCTCAGCCAATACTGGCTGATGGTATGTGGTGCTCATGGCCCCAAGTTCAGTTTTCAAAATCTTTAATCAGATTGGGGTGTACATATCAACCCACTGTTTGAGAGTGGGTCTATTGAATCATATCCCCACACCTTTTCGTAGTGACCCCCCCCAAAAAGGAAGCTGACTGTGAAGAATTTATCGGACTTCCCAAAGACTAAAATGTATTCAATATCACTCAAACAAGAAATACAATTTTGAAAAAGCCATAAATATGCCAATATGGTGAAAATTCTGCATGATTGTTATGTGAACATCTGTATCGTGAATATCTCCTCCTATATAGTGGCATAAGTGTCCCCCCGCCCCGCTTTTCAAATTTCCACCCTCACAAATCCCCATTCCCCCAATTACTGGCACAGATTTACGCCTTTGGTATTTATAAGGGGATGCTTACAGGCCGTCGCTAAGGGGGGGGGTGAACTTGCTAGTCCTTGGAAAAGGAAAAATGAACAGAACAGAAACAAAAAGGAGGAGTAAAAGGGATAAAAATCACCAATTTATCTGAATATACCTCCTAATTGACTCACCTTTCTTCTTTCGATTATATTGCACCAACCCCACCCCAAAAAAGAGCCCTTCCCCTTTGCAGTGACTAAGAGTGCGGAGTGGCAAATTACAATGGCCTCGGAAATCGGGACGGTGAAAAAAGATCATCAATGCAAAAACGATCAATTGGTGAAGAGGCATTGATTTATGTGTGACAAAAGCTTTTCCGTGTCAACTTTTATCTCATCTATAAGTCAGACGAGCTTTCTACTTGAAACGGGCTACCAAAGGAATCATTCAGATGCCTTTTCTTTCTGCCTTGAAACGAAGCCGTTTTTTAATGTTAAAAGAAGATAACGTTCTGCAGAATGATATGGAGCTGCTTTAAGCATGGAATTTGTATATAACGGTTTGCCCGTACCCAACGTATATTAATAAGCACTGTATGCTCAGTGCTTGGAATTTGGTTAAGCACGAATAAAACCTTGTTTAATAAACAAAGGTTACCAGCTCAAACTCTGTGCGATTGTCATGCTAATCAAAAGATACGGGTAGGTAAATACCATTCCTAAACAATATACATCACAAGAATATTAAGCTGGTAACCTGATTTGTCAATCAAGGTTTTTTCGCGCTTAAACAATTTTTTCGCTTTAAGCAGCGCTATGAAATTGGCCCACAGCTGGACTTGGGACCAATGCGGAAAAGAGTAACAAATGCACATGCAAGTGGCTGAACTGATTGCACGGTAGTTGTGAATTATTGGATTCTTGACCTTTTCTGTATTAATCAGTAAAACTGGGTGCATATGTTAGTGCAACGAATAACTTTCCAGAATAATAAATACTGCAGAATTTTGATTTTAAAATATAGCCTTATATAAAACACCATCATAGGAAATCAGAAACAAGAGAGATAGTGACTTTGGGGTATCCAGCTTGTGTTTGTTTGCGAATCTCCCTTCTACAAAAAGCGCTGAGATAAAGCGCTGAGACAGCCTTGGACAAGGCCAATGCCTGCTGCGCTTTAATTTAGAAAACTCATAATCTGTGAAGACGGGATGTATACGTAACATTAAAGTTGACTAAACTCCTGTCCCTAGTCACTCTTAAATGAGCTGTTGCTTCACTGAGAGCTCATTAAGGGGCTACGCTTGCAATGCATGCAACATTCTTGTCACAGTGTAGCACTGCAACGCATTGAGTAATAAAAAAATTGTTCCCCGCATTTGTGATTTAAAAAAATCGTAATCATTCTGGCAAATATTATAGGGCCTACAACAGGATTGAAATTAAGTTCCTGTGTTGTTTGTACAAGCATTTACTATCAGGAGCATTTCGCCGTTTCTACCTTTTACTTTTTAAATTAAACTGTGAGCTGCACCACTGATGCCGGATTAGGGATAAAGAATACGACTGACTTTAGGCTCATGGATGGAATTTCGAAGGTTACGAGAAATGATTATAATCATCGGTCGTTGATCAAACTGTTTTCGGTATTTGTGTGGTTTGGAGTGAATCCAGTTACAGAGAATTGCTGTTTTGCTCGCATGCATGTATTTCCTTATAATAGGGAATAACACTGTATACCTGGGAACAACCTGCAGGGCTACGCCGTTCGATGTTGGGAAGACCAGATGCAGGCCGAACGTGACAAGCGATACAACATGTAGATTATTTCAAGCCACGTAAGAGGCGGCCTCTAGTGTAAACGTATAGGTAAGGAGGGAGGATTTCTTGCGTAAATAAATTGGCATGTAATTAATTCTATCTCTCTTTTTATCTTACTGGGACCTTATAACCTTATAACATAATCCTTATAACATATTAATCAACAACCCCAACAAATATATCTGATTGAACATCATTTTATTGGTACTTCTCATTGTGTCTTGCCCTAAACGGTTACATAGCGACTGGAGTACTTCACGTTTGACTTGGCATTACTTGTAGAAAAGTGACTTAGTTACAACACTGCCTCCTGGAGACGCTGGTGAAATTAGTACGATGCTTTCGAACCAGCCATCCCAATACACAAGAAAGATGATTTAACGTGGTACAGTTGGCCATGCTCGAAATATAAGACTAAACGCCGATGACACTTAGGGATATAATGGGAAATAATCCATCCGTGCTGATCTTAGGCCTATGCCTGTGTTTCATCAACATCAATAGACTTCATAACAATGAAAATTAACCAGAAAAATGTACTTATATTAACGAATAAAAAAATCAATCGTGTATACAACTTTATAGATCAAACCAAAATTGTACATCATTTACGAACCCTTAAATGTTTCCAATGTTGATATTATTTGGAGGATAACTGAAATAAATCATGATAACCAGAGAATTTGAAACTCGGCTGGTCAGTGTGATCACATGTGTACACAATGATACGTAGGCTTCGACTTCCAGGCCTAAACTAATCCGTGATTTCCCATTCAGTCTTTTGAAGTTCAGGGCACCTTACATGTGAAATATTGTTATTAAAATATTATGTAATATTTAATATTCAACAACATTAGCTTCAAACTTCAAATTGATTGGAAAAAATAAGAAACAAGAAAATGTACTTAGGAAAGTATATAATAGTGTCATTTTTTGTATAATTCTTTGAAAATAAAATGTATTTCGAACTTTAAAGTATCAACAAAAATGATGAAGACAAGAAATACAAGATGCAGGGGCATGTTAATTTTAACTTGCGTGTCAAATACTACATTAAAAATACATGTAGAAGGTAAAGCATAGTATTTTTAAGGGCCAATTTTCCATTAACACAGAAAAATGACAGTATTTGTGTGATGGCATGTTTTGTGTTAGCATGTATGACTGAAATCTTAAAATAATGTTGATGTTGTTACTAAAGGAATTTTAATGAATGGGGATGGCCACAAAGTTTTTAAAACCTAAATCTGGTACCTGCGACATTGGAAGCATTGTGCTGTTCATAGTGCTCATTAGTCCACAGTTAAATACTTTGTCATGAGAACAACGATTTTAGGACCTCTTACCAGTATAGAACAAAGGACGGATCCAGGGGAGGGTGCACAATTCTGGCCATGCCTTACCCCCTAAAAAGGAGTACTTTTTAATAATGAGAAAAGGCAATATTGGTCCCTATCCCTTACTTCCAAAAGCGTGTAAATTCCTCCAAAGCATGATGTTGCGTCATCAACGCCATAAATGGTTACTCATTATTTTTCAATTTTGTTTCCCCCCCAAAAAAAAGCCTTGCTTACAGACCAATCATCTATCAATTAATTGGGTAGCATGGTTCATTGGTGAATTGCTGGTACTGTCCGACTTTGGGTGGTGCTCTAACAACTTCACCGTAGGATGGTGGGTCCGTAACGAGTACATCACATCCTTGCTGTGGTGCCGGTACAGCTGTGGGAAAAGAGGCCGAGAGCTTTGTTAATTAAAATGTTATTGCTAAGCTCATGTCCATACAATTTCCTCAGGCCATACAATTTGAATCAGGCCCTTGAACTGGTTTGACGACAGGTCGTTCCTCTCCATGACGAGGGGAGTCATCTTGGGAAAGAATGCAGGAAATTATATATACCTGAAGAACGGGGAAGGAGTTCGGAAAAAAAATCTTAGGCACTTGGGCGTCTCCGTTGGCTTTTCTGTAGATTTCGGTGGAATCGTGGAGAAATTGCTATTGCGCGCTAGTATGAAAGTAAATTAACGATCTTTAGTCGACACAGCGGTGAGCAAAGTTTTCTGAAAACTCTCAAGTCTTTCAAACTTTCAAACTGTTGGGCAGGGGAGAAGAAATTCGGAAATTCCTTTGCGTAACTTTCCGTGGCCTTTCCACAGGATAAGGCTAAATTGGGGGGGGGTTAACGCATTTGATAGAAAGGGAAGTGAACACCCCCCCCAAGTCACCCTTTTCTCCTCGTTTCCAGAAACAAATTCTCCCAGGAGGTTAGCCAATGCTTACTTAAGAACAAGACGTAGGCCTAGTGCAGAATCCACAACTAGCGACCAAAGTTCACACAACGTTTCCGATAGTAATATTGGCAATAACAATACAAAGTTGGGGCGTTGGGACTGTGAAAGCTACGGGTTCATTGAGTGGGACCGAAATGGCCGAGGCCACATTAACTAGCCTGTTTTTGATACTGTCTTGATTAAACCTATAAACATTGGGTATGCAGGGTTACCTTCGCAAGCTACACACGATGGGATTGGCAAATAGGTATACTTACTCTGTACTTGAGAGACTACAACGGGCGTATGTGGCATTTGCCTCCTACCCGAGCAGACAAAGCAGATGATGATGAAAGTGACCAGGAGAGAAATGCCGATAAGACTCCCGAAAATTACGCCCATGATGGCTCCAAGGCTGTGTAAAAAATTTGTCCAGAGAGACCCAGGTAAGTTAATGTTAAGCTATATGCATACATTGTGTTTCTTTGTATCAACGGACACATGCATACGCCCCGTTGTCCATGCATGCGTGCAGCTGAGCTTGAGAGAGCTTTTCCTGTTTTTTTGGGTGAGCATTTTGACATAATTGTTACACCGCTGTGAATGTTCAGGCTCGTCAGCTTAACAAATTACATATTCTTTGATTAGTTTTTTTAAATGTCAGGCCATCAATGTTCCGCCTTACACTAATTGTTCCACTCTTCTGCCGCTTTCCCTCAAAACAGGTCAGTTCATGTGCCTCAATGTCTCTTATTAAAGTTTCAGAAAGGTTGCATTTGTCGTAATTGTGGGCATTTTGGATCTCGGGGAAAACAGACTGCAAAAGTCGTCTGAGTATGCACTTGCCTCCAGCTAGTATAGCCGTAGTAGGCGTTGTAGTCGCAACAATGCTGATCTGTCTCATACGCATCGCAGCAATAAATCAAATCTGAGGACTGGCCGGGCAGAGGGCAGTCGAATCCAGCAGTGATCGATAAGTCGTCAAACAAAGGCGGGCACTCCCAATATACGGCATGACCTTACAGGGACAGATCAAAGAGTATTAAATCGATGAATTCAGCCCTATCGTTCGATATGCTTGTTTTGCGTTCACGGTAAATAACGTAACAGTCGCGGGACAATGAAGAAGAAATGCGTCGACGAATTTTATGACGCAAGTGGCCAACGACAGAATGGTGTATCTAAGAGCTATGCAATAAAATCGATTCGAAAAGGAAACACAACTGAAACTCACCCAGCCAACCCCGACTCCAAACCCCAAAGTGGGCATCCGTTGAAAATACCCGTAAAATGATATCCCAGAGAGAAGTATTGCAAGTTTTGTGCGCCTTTCGACAGAACAGGGTGGGGTTTACTGAACTTACCGTATGCACACAAAACAGCAAGAAGAGTAAAGATCAGAAGACTGTGAGATGCCGCCATTTTGGAAGAATTAGTGTGGGTAATTGGGTGGGCGAAACTGTTGTGCGCATTAAACAGTAAGAACCACGACACAGAACACACCAGACAAAACGAAACCAATCTAATCACATGATCTTAAGTTTACACAATGACAGTTGAACTTCGATTTGTAACCTGTTGGCCAGCAATGTGAAATCGAGACCGGGTATAATACAACTAACCTGTGTCTTATCACGTCTACACAAAACACTGTGCAGAGATACCAAAGCTGAAAGCCAGTTCGCCTAAATTGGAAATTAACGTTTTTGTTTTTTAATTCTAAGCTAATTCGAAAGGTGTCACACTACATTGAGAACCTGGGTATACAGTGAAAAAAAGACTCTGTGTAGAACAACAATGAACTTGAAATGACAAAAAAATCTAAAATTAATCTTAACTTGATGGTACTTCTTCAATGTACCACCGTCGTGTGGACGCATTCGTAAATACCCAAGACATTCCTGCTGGTCAAGTCCCCTTTAAATGGCATGATAAAAAACCAGCCAGCACCCACAGTGGCCCCCAAGCAATGACACTTAATGTACACGCATTTCTACTTCTACCCCGTTACATTGTGTCACAATTTAACAATCACAATTGCTCAAGCCATTTTTAAATAAAACATAATTTTAAAAAAGCCAAAACAGAGCAATAACGTTTTGGCCAAGCCAGAACAGTTGATTTCAAGCACAAGCTTGCACACCAACATGTTAAATGAGCCAGTTCAGTATTTCAATTGAGCATGCCGAAAATGAAACGCGTCCGAAGTCATTCAGACGCGCGTGCGAGGTCTGCCATTTCAGACGATCCCTACGCAGGCGCGTTCTTAGTTCCCGTATGACCTTGCCTGGTGAAATACCGAACTGGCTCATTGTGCGTATACCTCTCTTTCAATTGAGACCAGTGCTTGGAATTTGTACATAGCATGTGCAGCTGTTTTATGTACCTCCCACTTGAAAAATAAATTACCCAGATACGTCAGTCGTTCTTAAAATACACAGAATCCAGGTCGATTATTCTGTGGGGAAGTATTGTTCATGTTCTGCTAACCAGTAATTTCAATCATTGTGTAGAGTAACAAACAGTGGTCTATAAGCATGGATAGGAAAAAGAACAACAAAATGCCCGAACGGCCCAGTTTACGTGTGGAAATTTTGGGGACACAAAGTATTTCAGGATGGAAACATGTGTTTGGCCAGTCTTAGGAACGACTAAGCTTTGGAAGCAGTGATAATGAACCTTTCTTCTGCTCGGGTTTTATTTTCATCTTACAAAGTATGGGCGGTCAAACATTTAATTATTCCCTTCATATTAACGGGGCTAGTGGTGCAAATGTGATGGCACTATTTTGGGATTTTAAAAGCTGACGGCAAAATCATTTAAGCCGAGTAACCTAAATGCCCTTAGTACTGTGGTTCAAAAACAAAATTCAGGGGTTTTTGTTGGTATCCACCATGTCTTTCCCTCAACCATAATCACTTCGTCCTTTACAGACGTGTGAAGTAATTTTTTTGCGGCTCTCGTTGGATTGGTTCAATAGTAATTTTGTTCGAGTGCAGACATTTCCGAGTGCAGATATTTTTAGTATATATCAGTGGACAAGATGTCGTGTTTCCGTTTGCTAATTAAAAACATTTAAATTAGAATGCAATAACAGACTCCCTAGGATGCGTGGGTCAGCTTTGGTAGCAATTTACTTGGGACTTCCCTATTTTCCGTTCAAACTTTGGAGAGAGAAATTTGAGGTCACCACAATCGAGGGAAGTTCGCGATGGGGCACAATCGAGTGACGATTTAGCTACCATGGGCTTTCTGATGTAAAGTCGTTTAATAAGAGGTCTCGAGCCCCTGAAGTTTGGCACAGAAGAAGGCGAGGTAGAGATTGGCAACGGCATCCATGATGGACGCCGGAAGGTAGTAGTGGGCCCAGGCGATGCACTTGCACATGGCATTGGACGGGAAATATCTGTCTTTGGGGATTTCGTCGGTGAGGGCGCTGGTATACGCGTCGATGACAGGAACGATGCTGCCGTGAGTTGTCTTCAAGATGGGCATGATTAGGGCCTTCTTGACGCTCTGGAAGTGGTCCTCACCATAGGCCTGTCGGACTTCTTCAGGGGCTGAGCGCCAGACTCTTTCCATCCCGCTATTTAGAATACCCTCTCTCAGCATTACAGAGGTACCTGCGAGTTGTTCACGGGGTAAAAAATGTTGTTCTGTAATTCAAAGAGCAGTCCTGTCTGGGGGATTCTAACAGAGCATAACTTCCAGTTTTACCCTCGTCCCCCCAATATAAAACCCATTTTTACATGGAAACTACAATGACAACAGAGGGGAGCTAGAATAACCCCACTAATCCATTTGTGAGACGAAATGGGACACTGAAATATACTGGTACTGGTATATGATCCATAGCATTGAGATAGTCCAAGTAAAGGGGGGGAAGTGGGAATGGGATGAAAATCGTCAATCTGCTTGAAAAGATTTAAGAATAGGCTCTTCATATCGCCCTCTTTATTTATGTTTGAATTGAAAGGCAGTGAAAACGAGCTGATATAGATTTCGACAGGACTATGCATTCTACACGGTTCCATGTTTGGGTGGAACAATTTTTTTTTTAATTATGAAATGGGCCTTTCAAAATTTAGGCCTACTATTCGTGCAATTTACAATAATTCAATTCTCATTTTTTATGGTGTCTCTAATAATATTGTCATACGTAGCGATACATTAAAACTTTCAGCCCATTGGCTCCACTTTTGAAACCTCAATCCCTTTGTTCGTGGAGCTTTGAGCAGCCGACAAAATAGAAAATGGGTCCTGACAACTAAAAAATGAAACAAAAATTTATGCAGCTTGATCAAGCATTCAGGGGCACAGACGTCTGAAATCTGCCATGAATCGCAGTAACCAGCTTCCAAATAGGATTTTTTGTGATCTTGGGGTTCCTAGCCCTTCCGTGCTCATCCATTTAAACCGAAACGGTTCGGGCACCTTGCAAGGGAAAAAAGCAGACGGCCCCTAAGTTTTGGCCGCCGCGTCGGCCAGTCTCAAATCCGTATCCGCCCCGAGCTGAAGTGCACCTCCAATCGGCGAAAGAAGGTGGCTACAAGCGGGTTTTTTGCACGTGTTCTGCGTGCAGTGTAAAGACCATACATGCCAGAATGAATTAGTTACGCGTACTCGGCATGTTCTGCGTCAGAGGCGCACATACTTGTGAGCTTCATGGCGCACCAATGCGGTGAGTACCAAAAACAGGCCCTCTTTTGTTCCACTCGGAGCGGATAGGGCGTACTTGAGGCGCTCAAGCCTCAACTGGACTTCGTAAACTGTCCACGCAACAGAGATTACCCGTTAGGCTAAGACACTTTTGGTCTTTGATGAGCCAAAAAAAAAAAGCAGTGGTGACATTCGAACGCCCGTGCTCTAAGTCTCTCATCATTAAGCTTGACCAGTCTACAATTTTATGAAACGACCTACATTGAGTTTTTGGAATTTAAATCTCCCTTATGAATTGCGTATAACACTGTGAGGGCAACATGCAACACCATTCAGATAACTGATATTCGTGTCCATTAGCCTATCTTAAGTATGGTAGACACAATAGGTGGGCACTATTTGGCTTGGGTAACGATCTTTTGTGTTTGCTCCAACTTCACCCACTCAAATATCAGCCCCGCTATTGTGGGATGAACTTCGGTTTGGGGAATTGAAAGAGCTAGCATTTAAAATCGGCACCGCCACGTTTCTTTCTTACACAGTTCAGGATCTTTTACACATGATCAGTTTTGGGCATTGTCGTTTTTAGAAAAAAATATATATCCCCCTCTCCGACCCAGGAGCTGGAAACGTCACTTATCCCAAGATCAGCCCAACCCTGCAGCCCCTCCTAGCGGCCTTTATCGTACCTGCCGAGAATGTCCCAGGTTCAACAATGACTGCCTTGACGCCCCATGGGAACAATTCAACACGCAGTGCGTCGGTGAAGGCCTGGACAGCGTACTTGGTCATGCAGTATGGCGTACAATAGGGCGAGCTGAATCGACCCAGCACACTGCTCATGTTCACAATGCGACCTAAGGGCAATAACGATCATATACACAGAGAACGTGTGGAAAACATCAATGAAATTAACATAAACAATAAGAAATGCAAAATAAGCTGTGGGGGGCAATTGAGGGCCTAATTCGTTTGGAAGCACTGGCTGGTTTCATGGTTGTATGCACTTGCTGGTTTCATGGTTGTAAATCCCGAGGGATGGGGGTATATATCCTCCAACACTTTTTGAGGGGGGGGGCTATTGTATCATCTTCCCACTTTTTTTGGTGAACAAAGATTAAAGCGGATTGTGAAGAGGTTTTTAAACTTCCATCGACTAAAATGCGTTCACTATCAATCAAAAAAGGAAAAAAATTAAAAAGCCATATGTATGGCCTTCTAGTTACGTATTACAGATGAGCTTTGGAGCTTTTCATGGTGAAAGTAGCAAATTAGTTATTGAGGTTTGCGTTAGCACCATGCAAGGGTGTCTCTCTTACGAGCATGTGTGGTTCTGAAAAGAACCTATTACGGATCTGATACATTGATATCATGAACATCGACCCCTTAGAGTCATATGGCGTCACCCCCCCCCTTTCAAATGTTCATGGCCGGGCAAAACATTCTCCACCTTTGCTCACCCCCCCCCTCCAGCAATTTCCGGCACAGATTTACGCCACTGGTTGGTTCGGACCGTAGTCTCAAACAATTATGCAGCTGGATTTCTCCGATTTTCACTAAGCGGGCCGGGACACAGGGGAAGAGGCACGGGACTCGAAAGCACTTGTCCCGCCTTTCCCAGTTATTCTACGAGCCTATGTATAGGTGAACTATTTACGTAGGCCTTCTGAACTCTGGCCATAGTATGGCAAAACACGCACATTGGACTGAATACTCTAGCAATATATTTCATGCTGAATTTGATGGCGACCATTTGAGCTTCGCACCACCCTGCACTACACATACCTTTGCTTTTGCGAATGAGAGGCAGGAACGCCTTCGTAACTCGGACCATCCCCCATGTATTAACTTCCATCACTTTTTTAAATGCGTCGAGGCAGATCCATTCCACCATTCCAAACGTTAGCACGCCTGCGTTGTTCACCACACCCCATAGCACTGTATTATAGATGAAACAGAGTGACGTATTAATTATCTTCCTGTTAAGAATATCACATGACCCCTCCCATGTAAAGAAGCACACAGCTCAGTATATCATCCGGTGAAAATTAACGCAGACTTTGTTCGTCCCTCGAAAACATGACAATGATAAAAAGGTTCACAAATACACTTCAAATGTTGGGTGCCTACGGGGAATGTAAGCCCCAGGGAAACTGTGACCCCCGGGGGCAGCGGGTTCGTGCCCCTGGATCCCCTTTACAAACGCACACACTACTAACCGTTTCAAATTTTGAATGTTCACAATCTATGGTACAAGCACAGTTCGTCGGCTTTCGATGCCACATGAAAAATGAACTTCAACAAGTGTACATGTACATGTCAAGTGTTCCTTGTCAGTCGTTAACAAACACATGGAAGCTATAGGCTCATGGAAGCAAACCTTTTCGCTATTTTCAATCGCCTTGTTTTCATACCCTTTGGGTCGTTGGCAGTGGGGGTATACCAGAACCCCTCCCCGTCACCTGCAGTTCTATTTTTAGAACGCCCCACAGCTACTAAATCAGTGCTCTAACTTTGAGTACACATCCATTTCCTCGATTTCCATTCGTAATCGACTCTCTTAGATTATGAAAATGCCCATCTCATGAAAAAAACCCTTCCTTTTCACCAGTTTGTAGTACTATTTTGATAAAGTCTAATTAACGGGGAGGGGTACTTTGGGAAAATGGATTCAAAAGGGGCACTTGGCTCGGCGAAATTGTACATGATCTCAAAGAGTAACCTATAAAAGTCAGTATTTTTTTCTCCTGAATGGGGAGCACAAACGGAAAACACAGGCAAATGGCCTAGTGCATGAAGCGAGGTAGGCTCGCCCCATCCTCTTTAACATAGGTTTTCCTGGCCAATTTCGGAAAATGCGCTATCCAATTTGTAAAAACATGAATTTAGCGTAGATTTTGAAAACGACTTTAAACCTGGTTTCATTTTCGCAATAAGAAGCATTCGACTTCGTTCTGCATCCTTCAAATAAAATAATTGAATGTGCATTGCGTTTAAAGAGGTAACAAAATACGTTATTGGGATTTCGTATTGACATATTCCTTGCCAATTACAACAAATGTGCATTCTTATTAGCTGAAACTCTGTCTTTTACCGTGACCCTTCAGAACTGAATATTCATTTCCATTTGCTATAATTTAAAATCGCAAAATAAACATTCAATTTGATAAGAATATACAAGGTTACGAAATCATGACACCACTTGGATAATAAATATAAATCTTACTCATTTCTAATATGTTTGTTATCAACCTGTAAAAAGATACGGTTTGTGTGATAGAAACGCAGCACAAGAAGGAAGGTTTCCTCAGCGCCGGTGTTTATAGGTTTCCTACAATAGTCGTTAGTTTCCTTTGACCGCACGAAGGGTTTTGTTTCAATCATGAATATTCAACTATTTTACCAATCAACTAAACACCTCTCAGAATGTAATTTGGTTGGTGCACGAACGCAAGCTCTTAACAAGTAATGCGTTTAAATAACTCTTCGCGCGAAATTGCCGCACACTTTGTGAAATAGATTGAGTTCAAATTAAGATGAATGCAGGATTGCAGAGGTGCGTTCAATTTTGCGCCTCGCCTCCTTGAAACAGAATTTTTATTTGTTAGATAGAAACGGGGATTTGAATGTTCGTTCCATTTCGCTCAAAACAAATGCTGCTATTACTGATTCATTTACACATTTTCAAAAATTGGCCGGAAAACCTATAGTTTGACTACATTGACTACATCTCTAGAACTTGGACAACAGTCCCTTAGACAAGCTAAACAAAACCTCTCACCATCCCCCGTCTTCGCCAACGTTTCCTCCACAGCAGTGACAGCCTCCACAACTTCCTTGTCACTGGTCACGTCCATCTGAATCACCTTCAGCCTCTCAGAGCACTCTGCCCTCAGCCCAGCTGCTCCCTCTCCATACTCTGCCTCCAAGCAGCCAGCGAACACCCGGAAGCCCATCCCGTCCAGTCGCCGAGCCAGAGCATTACCCATTCCCGTATCGCACCCAGTGATCAGCACTGCCTTGTCCCGAAAGTTGGCGATCTTGCCCCCACGCGTCGCGTAGGAGGCGATGCAGACAGAGGAGACGCCGCACAGGACAGTTCCAAGGCACCGTGAGAGGAATTCTTGGCCCATTAGGGGGACAAGGAACCGCACAGAGGTGTAAGAGCAAAAGAGAAATATAGCCACTGCTTGAAGTGCAAGCTTAAGCTCTGCCATGGTGCGACTTGGAAATTCTGCACTGTGCATGGAGGCATTGTCATCCGACTGGTTAATTGACCTTGACATCATCCAGTAAAGACTTGCTACATGGTTTCCTGTTATCAACCTTTTGTTTGACAGAACTTTGCCCTGGCTATTTTCTGCAAAAGTCCTAAAGCACGAGTTATTTTTAGTCTTCACACAAAAAAGTACCTCAAAGCGCAACTTAGTGATAAATTTTATTACTCCCTGGACTTACCAAAGTTATTCATAACTTCGAGTCCAAGTAAAAGCTAATAGGGCAGTCAGAAGGCAACTGCAGCACAAAAGTCCATCCGCACGTATCACTTTAAATTCCTGATTGTTACGGTATTAACCAATCATTGAAATTCCCACCTGCCTGCCATCTGTGACTACCCCTTCCCGCCCCAGGACTAACACAGGGCCAGACGGTGGAGACGAGCAAACCCAGCTTTGCCATCAACACAAGCATACTATGGTGGCCCTGACGAGACATAAAACTAGTCGTGATTTTTTTTTTTTTTTTTTGGCGACGTCGTGAATTTATACACGACTAGTCACGAATATTTTTCACTACCACTTGTAAATATTTCTGCCACGTCGTTAATTATTTTTTCACATGTCATGAATAAATTTACTAGTAGCAAACTTTGTCGCGAATGTCAATATAAATGTGTCAATATAAATAGGTGGCTTTTAGCCAATAAGCTATGCACAAATTGACTTAAATCAAATTACATGATATTGTAACGCAATGCATAGCCCACTGGTGCGCTTTCAAGCGTTTGTTGCTTAGCAACGTTGTGCGCGCTGGCGTGTATATAAGCGACCGCGTGCTAAGAGTCGCTCTCTTCCCGCTGCGACAGTCACCGTGTTGAGTTGGAAAGTAACTCCCTGCTGCAGCTGCCACCAAGTGCGGTGAGGGGTTCTGATCAGAGATAAAGTGTACTTTTTAATCGTCCTGTCAATTACATTTATTTAAGTAGTCGCAGTAGGGGAGCCTCACAATTTGTGTGAGCTTGATTTGTGATTGTTAATAAATCCTGGCACCTATAATTTTGTGATCAGTGAATAGTCCCGCACGTAGGTGAAGCACTGTGCGCCTATAGGAGAATAAAGCATCAAAGCAAAGGGTAGGCACAAACTGGTGTCCGCCCCCATTTCTTCCCCGGTGGTCCCCCGTCTGTTAGTCCCGTGTGGTGCGAGGGTGTGTGAGTGTGTTTTGGCAGTGGTGAGCTACGGGCCTGGCGGTAGACTTCCGCCAAAACGGATCTGCGTCTCGGGCCGTGGAGGTCAGGCCGCTCACCGCTATCGGTCGAGACCGACCCGTGCAGTTGTCAGAGGCTAGTACCGCTACAATATTCTGTGGAAATCAGATGAGGTATACGCAAACCATTCAAATTGCTGCCAATGGTACAAACCTCAAACAATCAAAATTCACTCGATTATTAGGCGTCATTATTGACGAGCACTTAAATTCGAAGGACCACTGTATTGATGTAGCAAGTAAAGTTTCAAAAAAATATTGGCATAATGAATCGCTTGAAGTTTTATTTACCGAGCAGTATTTTGCTTTCCCTGTATAATTCCTTTGTTCTTCCGTATTTGAACTATTCCATTATTACATGGGGTAGGGCTACATCCATTGGTAAACAAACCTGAAGTTACAAAACAGAGCCACAAGTTACGGTGGTCTGGTGTAATGAATTTTACGTCGCTGAAGCGGAACGTCAACTGTCTGACGTTGCACCCTACGCTAAGGTTGCCTCATTCCTGTATATCTAATGTTTGTATAGTCCTTGTCCTAGATGTTGCCTCCGTTTTTGTGCTCAACTGTTAATATTAATTGTTCTGTGTAATAATTTAATTGACTTGAAAGTTTCTCATGGTGAAAGAAGTATATGAGTAAAACGAATGCGGTTACACCATGGATCAATCTCTTTCTTGAGTATGTGTGGTCTGTGAACCGGAGAATAACTTGATGTTTCGAACCATGTACTCTGTCCGTCCTCTTGGACTGGGAGTGGAGCTTATATGGTGTAAAGAGGGATCCAGATGTAGGGATTAGCTCGGTGAAGCGTTGAGGCGGGAACAGTGAAGGCGGGAACAATGGATGCTGCGATGGATCCTGGTACTGCTTGAGGTGAGTGTTTGCTTACTCAAGTGTGTCAGTTGGGGTTTGCAGTGGGAGAGTGAACAGCTGGGTGCCAAGGGTAGAGAAGACTCATAGGTTAACTAAAGAGGGAACTTAACTGGGGAGTCATAGAGTACAGGAGACCCATTGGACTGGGATGTGAGGATGGGCGCCAGATATCGCTAATGCTAAAGCCGATGTCTTGGGGAACTGTGTCACGCTTGATGATTTCTATGGCCTCTCTGATGCGGCGGGGATACCATTGTTCGATGCTGGTGATGAGTTCAGCTTGGCTCCAGTTGATCTGGTGGTCTTCAGTGCGGGCGTGCTTGATTATTGACGACTTTTCAAGCTCTCCCTTCCTGCCATGAGCTTTGTGCTCGTTGATTCGGGTAGGGATGTCCCTGCCCGTCTCACCGATGTACACTTTGCCACATTAGCAAGGAATTCTGTACACCCCTGGTCTGCGCTGGGGGTCCTGCCGGTCCTTGTGCGAGGTGAGCAGGTTGTGCAACTGCAGTGGGGCTGTGTGGAAAACCCGAATACCGTGCTTGTGGAGAATGCGCTCGATATGGTTGGAAGTACTGCCTAAGTAGGGGAGGGAGATGGAACTAGGGGCCCTTACTCGTTGGCTTTGGGTAGGGCCTATAGGAGACCCTTTGGCCGGGCGTGGATCTGGGATCATGGGTCTTGACTTGGCTTCGCTTGTAGCCGTTACGTTGCAGTGCTGCGGAGATGTGGTGGAGTTCTTGGCCGAGGAATTCTTTGTAGCAGATGCCAACAAGGGCCCAGTTGACAGACGACTTGATCTTGGGGTGGTGGAAGGACGTGTTGTGGTGGTATCTTTCCGTATGGGTGGGCTGGCGGTAGACCGTGCGGGCTAGGCTGCCGTCCTCCTTTCTGGTCACCTGAACATCAAGAAACGAAATGTTGCCATTAGGATCTTGTTCCATGGTGAACTGGATGCTGCTGTGAAGCCCGTTGAGGTGTTCCAGAGAGAGTCGGAGGTTGTCCTGCCCATGCTGCCAGATGACTAAAATGTCTTCCACAAATCGGAGCCAAACTTTGGGTCTGTGGTCTGATGTGTTGATGGCAGGTTGCTCAAATTCCTCCATGAACATGCCCGCCAGAACCGGGGATATAGGAGATCCCATGGAGGTTCCAGCTGACTGTTCGAAGAATTTGTCCCGCCAGCGGAAGCTCGATGAGTTGACACAGGTGAGGAGCAGGTCGTGCAGCTGTTCTGGAGTGAGGTCTGTGCGGTCCTTGAAGGCAGGGTCTGCTGCAAGTCTGTCCTTGGCGATGGTGGTGGCATCTGTAAAGGGACTGGGTGATGTACCCGTGCGCTGGAGGGAGAGGAGTTTTTGTTGCAGCCTCCTCTCGATGGACGGTGTGGGATCTTTTCGGAGTTCTCGGTAGAAGGCTGAGTTGAGGAGTCCGCCACTTTGCGGTCGTACTCTGTCTTGTCCATGACGACGGTGGCATTGCCCTTATTGCGTGGAGGATGTGGATGGCCTTGTCCTGACGCAGTGAATTGATGGCTGCCTGTTCCAGCTTTGAGATGTTAGGTTTGGTTGGCTTGTGTTTTCGAAGGGCTTGATGGACCTGCAGGCGGATCTCATTAGCTGCGGACTTGTCAAGGTGGCGGAGGATTGGTTCGGTGTGCTGGATGATGTCTTCAATGGGCGATGATTGGGGAACTAGGGCAAAGTTCATGCTTCTGACAGAACTTTGGTCTCGTCTGCGGAGAGGGCGGGCTGACTCATGTTGACCACGGTGTGGCTGGTGAAAGATTCCTTGGAGCGGAGATGGGGCTTGGTTTTGTACCTGTTGGAAGATAAAGAACATTTCATAGGGCTGGAGAGTTGGAAGCGTAGGGATATAGAAGATCCCATGGGTGGGGTCAAGGGCTGTAGGCGTAGGGATATAGGAGATGCCATTGCCTGGATGGGGGTGGGGCTGGAACTGCTGCGGGCCTTGTGCTTTTAGATCTTGAGAAATTTATTGACTTGATTGTTGCGGGATACCTTGAAAGCATGGTTGCTGGAAGATGAGGTGAGCTCCTGAACCTTGTAGTCATCAGCTGCAGAAATGCTGGATTGGAGCTGGTCATGGGTGGTGGAGATCTGCTTGTCCAGTGAGGCCAGGGTGGACCTAGTGGTACTGATGAGGTGGCGGAGTAGGGCAAGGCTGGCTTTGTGGAGGTGGATCGGGACTTGCTGCTGCGGATAGGATCGTGGATTCTGAGGCTGGGAGGGACTTTTTGCATCTTTTTACTCAGTTAAATTGTTTAAATGCATTTTGAATCGAGATACGTGAATTGTTGTCTTTAATTATAGCAACGTAGTACCTATGTGTTTTTGTAGGGTGATGTTGAAATAAATGTGCGCACTATTAATATTTTTCCAGAAACTTGAAGGATTTGACATTTGCCCGGCCGGTACACCTATGCTTTTTAAGGCCTTCCATAGCTAGCTTGAGGTCTTCAAGCCACCTAATAACGTCACAATAACAAATTTCTTCAAGTGTTGGACAAGTAATCAATAGAGCTCAATTGTCCAATTTGAAATCAGCAAAAGGTAATAACCAGACAAAAATTATTGGGTGGTGGTGGAATTATTGTGTATCACGTATGTACAGAGTCGATATATTTTAATAAACTACCGAAAGTCGATTGGTGTTCAAACCCAATGGGGAGGGTTCCGAAAAGGGATGGTAAACGAAATAAATTTGAGGAACACAACAGCTATTTCCTGAAATAGCTCCCGGGAGGCCAGGAGGGGCCGACCCCCGATCCCCTTCTGGATCCACGGCTGCATAGCCACCAGGTTTTTTTTTGTAATTGTTTAATCGAATAACACTATTAACGGAGCTTCCCCCACAGAGGATTTTAAGTCACGCTACTTTTGACGGTCATCGTTCAATACGGGCGTTTCACAATAGTGCGCCTTCAAGATTTTGCAACTCGTGGGCCAATCACAATGCACGAACTCTATCGACCCAATGCGCATTTGGAAAGGGTCGACAAATTTTGTGTGTTGTGATTGGCCAACGCGTTTCAAACTCTTGGAGGCGCACTATTGTGAATCGCCCGTATTTACAAAAATATGCGCGGAAACGCTCGACTCTTTGAAGTCTCCCAGTTTTCTGGCGTAGGTAAAATAGAAATACATGTACGCAGATTCGAAAATTAAAAGGTACGCGCTTCTACGGACATTCGTAGTGCGCTGCCTAAAAGGTAGTCTTGGTTCAAAGACGTTACTATTCTGTGAAAGCTTTAACGCAGTAAATTCGCCAGTAAACAGAGGGTGCTGTGTGACGGACGAGGTCTGTATTCGCTGTAGCTTTGGTCGGGTTCGGGCGGCCTATTCTTGACACGGGTTTCTTGTTCTCGCGCTCGAACGGCGGGAACACAACTCAAGAACACTGTTCCGAAAAAGGATCACACACCACCTCCTCGTCAGTGTTTACAGGAACACACGGAAAACTCGTGAGATTTTGGTTTTTGAACAGCTGCAAAAGTATAGAGAGATGGCTTCCAAAGCCATAGACCATGGGAAGTTTTGCAAAATTAACATTACATGTAATTATTTTCCGTAACACAGACATGAATGTTCCTGTTTATGTAGAAAAGAATTCAGCCCATCCAAACATTAACTCTCGAATAACCTAGCCTACATGGACGCCGCCAGTTGCTTGTTACTAACTACCGGCGATAATCGGTTGTTTAAATTTGTTCCCGGCGTTCGAGCAGCCGACCCACGAACAACAAATGAAGCTGTTCGTGAACATACAGGAACAAGCCGCCCGAACTCAGCCTATGGGTACAGTCCACTAATTCAAGCCCCATTGAAAGCAGTGTAAAATCAGCTCTGTTCAGGGCCCAATAACATGGATAGCAACATCCCTGAAATTTCTGAAACACAAATGAAATTCTTGTCTGGTCACTGATCTCTCAATTTCTTTTCAATTTTTTGTAGATTAACCAATTACATTTTTAATTATTCCCACAAAACAAAATCACCTCCAAAAAGTGATTTTTTTCCGAAGTCTGATTGCAGCCATTTTTTAAGTGGCAACCCTCAACTTTTTCGGCACTTAGGACCATTTTTCAACCGTAGTTTTAGCCATTCTGCTCTCATCATATATGAAAGCTCAAAGACCCAGGGAGTTGATCCCGGCAACGATTTAAACAATCTCACCATTTTGGGGGCCAAACAATCTCCTTTTTCAAAATATACTGTGGGGTGGCACTTTTAATGCTAATTGAGCTGGCCAGAAATTCTCACTTGAATTACAGGTCTGCACCCCTATGCGCACGATATTCTTGCACAATCTGCCGTCACAAAGCGCCCTCTGTTGACAGGCAAATTAACTGCGTAAACACAGATATTAATTACATGTATTAGTAACGTCTTGGCCGCGGCCACCCACAGCGCAACCGCCCTCCCATAATTTCACATACACCTTCGGAGTGCAAAAAGGACTGGAAGCTAGTCTACTACAATTCGTCTGCGCGGAATTCGCTTGAGGTTGCACTACACAAAATACGCACCCATAGAAAACAGTGCAAACTCGGACCGAAATAGCGCCTCCTGTTGACCCTCGTGAAGAGGTTGGCTTCCGGTTTTTTTACTGGAAATTCAAGATTATGGCCAGAAAATCACTTTTCGTTGCAATTTCATGGGGGCTAGCAACAAAAAAAATTTTATTCGCCTTTCAAGGAAGATACCCCCTAAACAGCAGTAAAACTAGGCGCTCATTTCTGAATGTAGCCACCCGCCTCTATCCAAAATAGGCCCGCAATTTGGGGCTTTTTATGAAAAAAATACCCCGAACTGGAAACTATCAGTCCCAAATTCGAGATTTATAGAAATATTTCTGATGATGGCTTCTGGTTTTGTATGTCTTATTGTGAAAACTCGTGGGATCACAAAATAATAATGAGCTCGCGCGCAGAAATACAACTACTTGGGAGAATGCACCCCTGAGTCCAAACTAGTTTCCGCCTCAAATGTTCCCATTACTGAACAGCATCGGGATGTCCGGCAACCAGTCTGCCTCGATTCGCCGCGGGAATTTGACGTCTACTACTATACTACTACTGCGCCTTCGGCGATCAGCAAATTTTCGGTGGCTGTTGGGAAGTCGGTCCAACAAAGTTCAATGTCTGTCATTGTCTGTCAGTATTCTGCTTAGCCTTTTGATTCCTCTACCGCTGCAGCATTGGAGGAACATACAGGAAGCAAGGTGTCCTGAAAATTTTGCCTGGTAGTCATGGAGCTCGTGGGCCTAACGTTCGGCTTTTTTGGGAGGAGGGGAGTTAGGTCATGGATGTATCATGTAGGCCTGTTTGACTATGACGAATCGGTCCCTGCCATGCCTGTCCCTGGCGCTACAGGCAATTTCAGAGCACCCACATGACTCTTGCGCAAATTCACTGTAGGCCTATGCACTCCCAAGTTGATTATCTGGATTTTGAATTCAAACATGTCAAAAGGCAAACCATTTTCAGGATGGAGTAGGCCTAGGCTTAGGCCTAACGTTAGGCCTGGTAGTAGTAGGCCCTACCTAGTACTAGTAGCCTAGTACAATAAACTTTTCTAAGACACAAGATTGCCCTGAATCTAGGCTAGGCCTACTTCGAAAACTCAAAGTCACCACTGTCATGTGTCCACATTACTCTGAACCAGTGTAGTTAACATGGAGTTGTAATGCCGAGGGTTAATCTAGATAATTTTTGGGGTGAATGATCACAGCTTGAAAAGTGTTTTTTTATTACATTTTCCTGTGACAGCAAACTTGAGGTATCTGTAGGCTACAGCTTTTAAAAAGGGTGTAACAAGGGTTTCAGAGCAGGAAACAATTTTTTTAGAAAAACTGAGATTTTTACTCACCAGTCGTTCACTTCCACCCGACGATTTTACCATTCATGCTCTTTGTGTTTATCACATTGCACATGCATTGGGCTGGCCAGTGGCCAAGCTTGCTGCGCATCTTGGTTAGACCATTTTCAGTGGTGGGAGTATGGCATCTGTACTTGTTTTCATTGTGCAACTGTCTTTACATGTACCTGTAAGCTGATGCCATTGGGACTGGTGACGTGCCCTGTAGCTGTGACAGATTGCCAGATCTGTCACAGCTACAGATCACCTCCAAAATGGTCGAACCAAGATTTGAGAGACGATCATTTGTCAACCACTGGTCAGTTCTCCTTGATATCCCATGCACAAAATGCATCCCCGGTACCAGGCAGTGTATATGTACATATACATGTACATGTAGTAATGAAGGCCATGATACTGAAACTGCATTTCTGTTTCCTTTTGTTTAGGCCATGATAGCGGCCAGTGAACCGCATGAGTTCATTCCGTTTGGCCGTCAGTTCAGCAGGGGCCAGTCGAACCGCATGGCCCAGCCTACCCACCAGCAAATGGATACTGGGGGGTTAGGCCTAGATTTGGACCTTCCCATCTCGGCCATGAGGGAGGTCAATATCAACGATTCCTCTCAGGTACATGTGCTTGTACTGAACTTGATAACTTCGAATGACACTCTACCAGCTTATATAAAGCATGCTGCAATATTTGTGTTGTGCATGCTCTTGATTGCTTTGGCCTTCACCTTTCTCTGTAATGGAAGAGAAAATGTAGCTCCATAAGATGGATGTCCCATTTATGCTTCAAGATAGCTCTGAGTTTCCACAGTTTAGATGT